TAATACTTATAAATAAATTTAACAAAAGAAGTCAAGACTTGTACACAAACTACAAAATATCACTGAAGGAAATTAAAGACTTAAGTAAATGGGAAGACATCCTGTGTTCATGGATTGGAGGACTTAAAATTAGATGGCAATACTCTCCAAAGTGATCTGTGGATTCAATATAATTTCTTTGAAAATCTCAGCTAACATTTTGCAGAAATCGATAAGCTGATCCTAAAATCCATAAGGAAATGCAAGGGACCCAGAATAGCTTAAACAACTTTAAAAAAGAAGAACAAATTTGGAGGACTCACAGCTCCCAATTTCAAAACCTACTACAAATTTATAGCAATCAAGGCTGTGTGGTACTGGCATAAGGACAGACATATAAGTCAATGGAATAGAACTGAGAGTTGAATTGAGAGTCAAGAAATAAACTGTTACATTTACGATTGATTGATTTTCGAGAGGGGTGCCAAGACAATTCAATGGGGAAAGAACAGTCTTTTCAACAAATGATTCTGAGACAACTGGATATCCACATGCAAAAGAATGAAGGTAGACCGCTGCCTTACACCACATACAAAAATTAATTAAAAATGGAACAAAGACCTAAATATAAGAGCTAAAACGATAAAAGCTCTTAAAAGAAAACACAGGTATAAATCTTCACCACTTTGGATTAGGTAATGGTTTCTATTTGGTAAGGGTCTAAGATCCAGAATATATAAAGAACTCTTACAACTCAATGATAAAGACGCAAATAACCAATTTAAAAATGGGCAAAGGATCTGAATAGACATTTCTACTAAGAAGATATACAAATGGCCAATAAGCACATAAGGATGTTCAGTATCATTAGTTATAGGGAAATGTAAATTAAAACCACAATGAGATATTACTTCACACTCACTAGGATGGCTATAATCAAAGGACGGACATAAGTATTGACAAGGATATGGAGAAATTGCTGATGGGAATGTAAAATGGTGCAGCCACTTTGAAAAACAGTCTGGTAGCTCCTCAAAAGGTCAAACATGGAGTTACCATGTGACCTAGCAATTCCACTCCTAAGTATATACCCAAGAGAACTGAAAACATACATCCACACAAAAACTTGTACATGAATGTTCATAGCAGTATTATGCATAAAAGCCAAAAAGTGGAAACAACCCAAATGTCCATTAATTGATAAATGGATAAACAAAATGTGGTATATCCATACAAGGGAATATTATTTGGCCTAAGTAAAAGAAGCCAGACACAAAAGGCCACATATTGTATGTTCCATTGCTATGCAATGTCCAGAATAGGCAAATCCATAGCGATGGAGAGTAGATTAGTGGTCATCAGGGGCAAGCTAGAGGGAGTAATGGGAAGTGACTGTTAATGAGCATGAGGTTTCCCTTTGGGGTGATGAAAATGTTCTAGAATTAGATAGTGGTGATGGTTGCACAATTTTGTGAGTATACTTAAAACAACTTGTATACTTTAAAAGGGTGAATTTTACGGTATGAGAATTATATCTTTAAAAAAAGAAATTCACCTGCATATACACAATACTACCAACAAAATCAAGAAATTAACATTGATTAATTACTACTATGTAATCCTCAGACCCTATTCAAGTTTTTCTAAGTGTCCCAATAATATCATAAATATAAGCATACACACACAAAAAGGATCCAGTCCAGAATCACACGTTGTATTTAGTTGTCATGTCTTTTCAGTCTCCTTCAATCTTGAACAGTTCCTCAGTCTTTTAATTTTATGACCATTGATACTTTTGAAGATTACATGCCAGCTGTTTTATAGAATGTCACTCAATTTGGATTTTGCCTGATGTTTCCATATGACTAGATTCAGATTATGCATCTTTGGTAAGAATATCAGAGAAGTGATGCTATGTTCTTGCCACTGTATCCTATCAGATGGCACACAATTTTGATTTGTCCCATTACTGAAGATACTCATGCTGACTGCTTAAATAAGGTCAGATGTCTGCTAGGCTCCACCACTGTAAAGTTACTCTTTTTCCCTTTATAATTATTTTGTGATGAGGTACTTTGAAACTATGTGAATTCAGCATCCAACTTCTAATTTATTCATTTATCTATAATCACTTATTGTTTCATTTATTACATTGTGTATTATTTTAGTATGGACTCATGATTTCCCATTTTACTCAATGGGTTATATATTCAGTGGGTTTGATAACTGTTATAATCTGTTACTATCATTACTTATTTTGATGCTCAAATTGTCCCAAATTTGGCCAGTGGTAACCCCTTCAAGTTGGCTTCAGAGTCCTTTTGACATGTCCCCACCGTTTTTTTAGCATTTCCATTCTTTCTGGCAAAAAAACATGTTGCAGGCTCATATTGTCCTTTTTCCTGCCCCAGCCCTTGGAATCAGCTCTGGTTCCTTTTAATGGAGAAGGATATTTAGAAACCAGATCTCGCTGTTAGGTGTGCTCTTTGGTATGGCGGTTCCCTTCTCCCAGGTGCTCTCATGGACAGAGCTAGAGAATGAACATATATATGTGTGTATAGAAATATGTGTGTGTATATATATATATAAATATATATGAGATATTTATAAACTGTGGGTGATTTTGGTCAAATCAATTAGCCTCTTTCAGCTTCGTACTGGAATTTGTAAAACACGAGTAATAATTATCTAAGATACTATATATGAAAGTACTTGATGATTACTAGAGCTGGACACATTCCAATTATTTTTTACCATTATAAAATGCAAAGCCTTATTTTCAGGGTTTTTATTCAGCTGTTGCCCACGAGTATCACCGTTCTGATTGTTGGTACCCTTGCCATACAGTTGTTAAATATTTTGAATATCATTCCTGCCATTTCTCACCATTTCTTCAAACACATTTTAAGTTCTAGCTTTACTACTTTTGTCAGATATACCACACATTGTAATGACTCCCTGCTTGTCTTTATGTCATAGTGCAAGTCTGGTATGTCATTTCATCCTTTCACTACCTAAAAGGTTTCAACTAATTCTTTCAGATTCTGTTTAAATGTCTAACTTTTATAGATTCTTCCAGGCTCCACTGTGTTACCATAGATTATTTGTACTTCTTTTTTTTTTTTTGTGAGGGAGATCAGCCCTGAGCTAACATCCGTGCTAATCCTCCTCTTTTTGCTGAGGAAGACTGGCTCTGAGCTAACATCTATTGCCAATCCTCCTC